GGAAAGAGGAAAACAGCAAAACTGACAGGAAATAATTTACTAACAATTTCCCCCATTTGTACAACATTAGATTACGCAAAATACATCCTGTGATTTCTCATCTAGGACACCAATAACAGGGATGTAGGCTCCAAAACACAGAAATATTGGTAAGACAGTGGCAAATTGTATTAGAGAACTGGGAGGGCACTGGTTGCAGGAGGCAGCACACAGAATCACAGAATGGTTTGCGATGGAAGAGACCCTAAAGATCACCCAGTTCCAACCCCACTGCCCCCCCACCCCATGGGCAGGGACACCTTCCACTAGACCAGATTGCTCAGAGCCCTATCTAACCTGGCCTTGAACACTTCCAGGGTCAGGGCATTCACAACTTCTTTGGGCAACCTGTTCCAGTGCCTCACCACCCTCACAGAACAGAATTTCTTCCTAACATCTAATCTAAAGCCCTCTTTCAGTTAAAAACCATTCCTCCTTTTTCTATCACTACATGCCCTTGCGAAAAGTCCCTCTCCAGCTTTCCTATAAGCCCCTTTTAGTTACTGAAGGGCCATCATAAAGGTCACCCTCGAGCCTTCTCTCCTCCAGGATGAACAACCCCAGCTCTCTCAGTGTCTCCTCACAGGAGAGGTGCTCCAGCCCTCTCATCATTTTCACAGCCCTCCTCTGGACCTGCTCCAACAGGTACTTTCTTATACTGAGGGCTTCAGAGCTGGGTGCAGCACTCCAGGTGGGGTCTCACCAGAGCAGAGCAGAGGGGCAGAATCACCTCCCCTCAGCCTGCTGGACATGCTGCTTTTGATGCAGCCCAGGGTGTCATTGGCTTTCTGGGCTGTGAGTGCACATTGCTGGGTCATGTCCAGCTTTTCATCCAACAGTTTTGCTAAGTCCTTCTCAGAGCTGCTTTCAATTCCTTCACCTCACAGCCTGCATTAGTACCAGAGGTTGCCCTGGTTTAGCACCTTGCCCTTGGCCTTGTTGAACCTCATGAGGTTCCCCAGGGCCCACTTCTTGGGCTTGTTCAGGCCCACCTCAGGCAAACCGCACCACAAAGCAAAGGCACAGTTAGCGGCAATAACATGCATCATGGGTCAGAGGAAGGGCTTTCTCACCATAGAAGAATTAAGCTTGAATAATTTAAATCACAGAAGTTGGCACTGAAAGAGGAGGATTGCCTTCTACATGGATTTGTGCAGCTCCTGAGCTAAGCATGTGTCCCTTTTCTGGATCCTGCTGAGCCACTTCTTTCCTCCTCAGAGCTGCACCTCTTTTAGGGCAGCCACCACACTTCATCTTTGCCCATAGTAGAAGCTGGTTGAAGGCCTGAGGCATCTCCTTTGACTGATTCAGCATGACCAGGCGGAATCACGCCCTAACACCCCCAGGAACTATGACCATAAACAGAGACCAAAAAGCTCCATCAAAACAAGCACATGTTTCTTATACAATGAGAGAAGTTTCATTTTCTAGGTGAAACAAAACCCAGGAAAGTGCACTCCAACATGCTCTGCTACCTCAGCATACACTTGCTCACCTTAGGTGAGAAAGCTCCAGCTGCCTCTGTTCCCTCAGTCTCAACTGGAAAAAGCAGCGCACACACACACACTCAGGGTCTCCTTTGCAGAAGGGCACACGTGCTTCTGTTCAAGCCACTGCTTGCTTCCACTGATGCACATCAGCTCCTCACTTCACCTCTCCAAAAACTCTTACTTTGATTTTGCAGTCATTCAGGCAGCAACCATGCCATGTCCACAACTCCTCATTTCCCTGGTCTGCTGTAACCTACCCAGAGACAGAGTCAAGCACAGAGAATGCAGAGAAATTTTGAAGCCCTGGTAGGTCCTGTCATTAACTGCCAGGAAGAAGAGCATTTCTAAAAATCAGGCTACACTTCACCTACTGTTGAAGTACCTGATGACGATGGAAATTAATTGAGCCCAGCAATGAGTTGTTCCTCTGCCACAAGCACATGGAGGCTAAAATTAAAAAGCGCTCTAAATAACCTGCTTTGGTCCCACAGAAATGCCTGGAGCCCTCAACTGACTGTGCACAGCACCACAAGCACAGGTACACACTTCCAGAGTAAGGGGTGCAACAACAGCCATGGGGTGACCTCAGACTAGCTCTGTTGCTGCAGTCAGGCTGGCACCTGAGCACAAGTAGAAGCTCACAAGTTCTTAGCAAAGAAATGGCTACGGATGTCCTTTGGCATCTCACTCGTTCCTTGTCAGTGCTGACTTCCCGCATGGGGAGCACAGCAATTCACCTGGAGCACTTCACTGCTAAGCAAGAGAAAAATCAGATTTAAGTCAGCCCTGGATCCTTTGAATACAGCACCTATAGACAACATTCCTAAATCTCTGGCTGTGCTGGTATCTGAAGACACACTTAATGCCTGAAACAACCTTCATCCCAACTGTTCCAGCTTACACCTCACAAAAGCCTACCAGAACAGCACATAGACATCTGAGATCACCAGAAAAATCACTCAATAATTTCTCACTAGCATATCTTCAAAACTGTTGTGGTGACTTGAGCACAGTGGCATAGATAGGAAAAAAACCCAAACAAACAAACAAAACCTGACAAAAAACAATCCAGTTTTTAGTCAGATTTTTCACCTGTTTATTCTATTGGCTTTAGACTTTGTATTTTCAATCCCTACCATCAGTTACGAAAACACTTCATTCAAGATAAAAGGCTACTGAGCATCTCCACAGACAGTAGCCAGGCGATAATTTTAGAACAAAACCATATATGCATGGATCCACTTCTTTGCACACAGAAAGAAACCTAGAGCCATTTCTAAAAGCTACTCAGATTAGCCTTGCTGCTGTCAATTCCCACAGCAAGGGGGAGAAACCCAGCAGAAAGTGGTGTGGATTTTCAAGGACTCGCTTTGTACCCCCAGAATTACAACAGCACCCCAAGCAGAGCAGCATACTGACCCTGCAAAGCCACTCCAGAGAGCAAATCCTACCGTGTGGCTGCCTCAGTCCCGTCTCCCAAAAGACACCACCAGCCACAAGGTTTAGTAACACTTAAAATAGCCCAGCCAGCTCACAGCAGTCCATATAGACAGTTCTATTTCAAGCACATACAACATACTGTTAGAGATAGCACGGGAACAACCCGCTTTCTTCACTCGTGCTTGACATTTATCTGATGCTTTGACTATTTATGCTAAGGCAGTGTGAAACGGCAAGCTTGCACATTCAGCAGCTTGGACAGTCACAGTGCAATTCCAGTACCAGTAATCTAGACGGTGCTAGAACAGCCCCTGAGCTCGTTAACCGAGTCTGATCTGGAAGCTCATGTTAGCCACGGGAATCCCAGCCCATGCCACTCAAGCAGAAATTTATTCCAGTGTCCCTCCCTGCAGACAGCCTCACCACCTCCTTATTTCTGACCAAATATTTTGCCCACTGCTGACTTACTTTTGGCCAAAGCCCAGTCAGGCTACACCTGAGCTGACTTCTCCACCTTGCCTCCCAAAACCCACCACCGCTTCTCTACAGAGCATGCCTAAACACCAGAGATATTGCTTGACCCCCTCTCCCCCAGGAATTTGTCTCAGCCTGTCAAGCCGTTTCTGCCATGCCAAGGGCAGCCCTTGGGAAGGAGGAGGCTGAGGAAAGCTGAGCTAACAGGTAGTGTGGTGCTTTTTGCTTTATACAGGGCTGCTGCACTCGTTTCCTCCTCTGTACCTGCTGTTCCACCCACACGGATGCCCAGGCAGTGTTCCGCTGGGCTTGGACACAAACATGGCAGGCTCACAGGTGCCAGCCTTCCCTCTGCCTGGTGCATGGGGCTGGGGAGGACCAGGCACACACCTGCCAACACGGCCAAGACCGGGTGAAAGCGTAAAGGGGCTGAAACCCCGTGAACCCATAGGGATGGAAAGAGAAGGCACGGTGGAGGTTACGCCAGGACGAGAAGCAGAAGGGCAGCCTCCCTGACGTGCCAGGGGAGCAGAGGGATGGATAGAGTCACAGAATCCTTTAAGGCTGGAGAAAACCATTAAGATCACTGAGTACAGCCATTAAGCCAACACTGCCAAGCCCACCAGCAAGCCATGTCCTGAAAGTGCCACATCTACATGGTTTTGGAACAAGTCGAGAGACGGTGATTCAACTACTTCCCCGGGCAGCCTGTTCCAACGCCTGACCCCCCTTTCCCTTAAGAATTCTTTTTAATATTCAATCTAAGCCTTCTCTGGTGCAGCTTGAAGCCATTTCCTCTTGACCTGCCACTTGTTACCTGGGAGAAGAGACCGTCCCTCACCTGGCTACAACCTCCTTTCAGGGAGTTGTACAGACTGAGAAGGTCTCCCCTGAGCCTCCTTTTCTCCAGGCTGAACACCTCCAGCTGCCTCAGCCGCTCCTCGCAGGACTTACTCTCTAGACGGCTCAGCAGCTCCGCTGCCCTTCCCTGGACACGCTCCAGCACCGTTGGCCGCCCCAGCCCGCCCGAGCCCCTCGGGGCCGCCCCGCGCCCCCACGCGCCGCCCGCGGGCCCGGCCGAGGGGACCCGAGCAGGGCGGCGGCCCGCGCCCTCGGCCCTCACAGAGGGGCTCGGCAGCGCCTCCCGGCCCCACCCGCCCCCAACCCCAGCACGGCCCCGCCGGCTCCCCCTGCCCCCGCCGCTGGTCCCGCTCAGCCCCAGCCCCATACCTGTACCCGTACAAGGCGCCGCGGTAACCCCGCTCCGACGGCCACGCCCGCCGGTCCCTGGGACTTGTAGTGCGGCGCAGCCCCGCCCGGGACAGCGGGCGTCCTCCCCCGCCGGGGCGGCGCGGCCCCGAGAGGCCCTCCCGCGAGTACCAGCCCCCTGTCCCGCTCGGGGGCGGCTCCGCCGCGCTGCTCCAGCCCCGTCCCGGGCCGAGATGACGGCGCCCGAAGGCGCCGGCGGCGTGTGCCCGCGGCACAGCCCGCCCCGCCCGGGGCAAGCGTCGGGACTACAGCTCCCACAGTGCCCCGCGGCGGCCGCGGCGGTTCCGGGCGGCGGCGGTGGCGGCGCGCCCTGTGTATGGCCGTGGCGCCGAGCATGGGCCCGGAGCGCGTGTGTCCCCGGGAGCCCGGGCTGCCCGAGGGCCCGGACGGCGCGGCGGGCTGGAGCGGCGACGAGGAGGAGGAGGAGGAGGAGGAGGAGGAAGGCGGCGGCGGGTACTTGTACCAGCCGCTGAGCCAGGAACCGGAGCAGGGCCCCGGTGAGACGGGCCCCGGCCTGCAGGAGCGGCTGCAGGTATCGCTCAGCACCTCCCGCCGCGACGGGGTTGGGGGGCACCCGTGGTCCCGACCCCCGCTGCCCGCTTTTCTCCGCAGATGCTGAGGCTGCACCTGCCCGACCCACCGACGGACAGCGAGGAGGAGGAGGAGGCGGAAGGCGCCGCGGCTCAGAGCAGCCGCAGCTCCATCCCCATGGATGCAGGTAAGGGCGGCTTCGGCACGGCCCTCTCGGGGTTCCGTCGCGGTCTCACTCCCTTTCTTGTTCCCAGAGCATGTGGAACTGGTGAAGAGGACGATGGCCAGCGTGAAGCTGCCTACCCTGGGCATCCCCGCCTGGGCCAGCCAGATCTCGGAGGAGCAGTGGAAGGACGTGGTGCAGCGCACACTGCAGGCCCGGCAGAGCCTCGGCGGTCCCCGGCCCGAGTGGAAGTGAGAGCTGAGCTGCAGCACCCCAGCCCTTCCTCCACCCTGCAGGCTCCCGCTGCCTCCAAGCCAGGTGCTGACAGGACTTGCCAGTATCGACCTTCCTGTTTCTTCCACTGACATTGTCTGATTTACCTCTCCACTCCTCTTTCCTGGTTCTGGCTGGTGCATAAGTCAATGTGATGTCCTTGGGTTGGCTTCCTCAGCCTCTGAGGAGCCCGACTGGTTTCTATACCTGAGTGCATGTGGGGCGAGGGGACTTAGCTGGCTTTGTCCAGATTCCCTCAGGACAAACACTGGATTTGTCCCCGTCCTGACAGTACCTGAGAAGTCCCTCTCCAGGCTTGGGCCCCTCCTCCCAGGACAGGGGCTGTGTTGGAATATCAGAGGCAGAGCCAGATGTGTCATTCCAAGAGATTGGTTTTATTTAGTTCTGTACATACAGGGACATCTGTACAAAATCCAACACTTTCATACTATGTAATGCTCTACTGAAAATAAAGTACACCATATGTACATATGAACTGTAAGCAGCTTAATACTTGTGTCCAGGGGGTGAATGCAGTAGTTTTGCTTGTTCCCTTGGGAGGAGGGAGCCAGGTGAAGTGGAAGAGGCAGCTCCAGTTCTGTCCATTTGGCTGACATGGGGAAGGCGTAGGCAGAAATGAGCAGCACTAATGCTAGAAACCAAGTATTGAGCAAGGGACAGCTGTAGTGTGGCAGATGCAGATCTGCCCATGAGCAGTACATGTGGTGAGAGGGTGAGCACACTCCTCCCTTTCTCACATGGTCCCCTTCTGAGGTGTCCAGGACACTGGAATGAATAGGCAGCAAACAAAGGGTGAAAGTACTAAGCCTAAGTTCCCTGACCCAGAACAAGACACACAAAGCTATGGGAACATCAAAGCTGTACAGCACGTAGTCATGATGTGTTAGAGTCCTGCCCCTGCACATGGCACAACTCCAGCAGCATCCCTCTGGCCAGGCTCAGGGGATGGCAACAGAGACAGACCATCTGTAGGACAGCATCAGCCTCTGCACACCACAAGTCTCTGTTCCTTCCACAGACAGAGCAGCCTACAGCAGGGAAAGGCTGCCCAGCAGCAAGCAGGCTTGAGTGAGGGCACACCATGCTGTAGCAATCTAAAAATGAGGTGCTGGCTTATAGCACAATGTTAAGAGCCAGTTGGAAAGCCTGCACTGAAAGGAAGAAGCATCCCGCCCAGCCTGAGCCCAGCAGTCCTCATCTCCACCGTGCCACTCCAGTGCACCATCCGGCATCACCTGGTGCATGTCTACATGCTGTGCCAGGCGTGAGGTAATTGATTGGCAGCTGATCATAAGCTTGGAATAATGTTCAGTGTAAGCAATAACCTCCCTGAGGTGTTTCTAAAGTCTCCTGATGAACTGGCCTGTTGTGGAGGGAAGGTGGGGTCCTGCGTGACTGGGGGGGATCTCACACACGCGCTCACCGGCTGCTCCGAAGAGATGGTGGCATTCTTTGTGAGGGCTGAGCCAAGAGAGACCTACAAAGGGCAGGGATGCAGGATACGGAGGTAAAAACAGCCTGGTCGGGGTTGGGGGAAAGATGTGCTGCACACCAGCAGAAAGATTAGAGAGGATGAACCTCTGGCCTAGGAATGGTTTACTAGTGAGGACAAGCAGATACACCAGAACCTTCTACAACATTCCATGATGCTGCAAAGCAGTGTCAGGCTAGCACCAATGCCGTAAGCTCCCTGCACTACTGCAATTCCACTTAAGCTTATGTGTCAAGAAAGCAGGTGCAGCAGGTAGGAAGCAAGGAGGACTCCCTTTTCTATCACAAGCCAGACTCTGAGGTGGCACTTTGGCCTGGCACTGAATCTGCACCACAAAACACAGGGGTGAAAGCTGGATCACAGTAGCACCTAAGTGCTGTGCAAGCCCCTGGGCTATCAGCAAGTGTGCTCTAAATGCTAATCTAGCAGAGTCCCTGATGCACCAGTAATAACTAACAAGGGCCTCAGCTCAAGGGCCTCAATGGGTGCCAAAGTAACAGGGAAAGGTGAACTTTGGTCAGAGCACCCATGGAAGCAATTCAGCAGTAACACTTGGCCATCGGTCATAACCAGGAGACTAAGCACCCAAATTCAGCCACGCCCCATAAGGTGTATCCATTGCTTCCCCTAGCTTGCAGAAAGGACTGTAGCAGCACAAGCTTTCTAAAAACCCTGGCCACTGCAGAGCTAAAGGTGGGATACAGAGACAAAGGGAGAGCTGCAGGAGTATTTTAATTGAGCAGTTAGAAGAAGAAAGCAGAATTCAGTGGCTGACACCTGTTACAAAGCAGGAAGTTAATTCTGGGCCCACAATTAACCCGAGACACCGGGATGTAGATGAGTCAGCACAGATCAACACAAATAGCTGAAGGAATCACTTTCCCACAAGAGAGCTTCTAAGGATGCTCGAAAGGGAGGGCAAAAGTACGTAGTGCTTGCACCCAGCTTTACTGGGGGTGGCGAAGCACTGAACCCCCCACTCCACTGACAGAGGAACAAAACAAGAGGCTTGGAAAAAAAGAAAGGTGGAAGCAAACATCTTCTCTGCTGCAAGTAAGACCCTTCAGCTGTGGAGCTGCACCCCAAGGCAGCAAAGCCTCCACAAGCTCTGCTCCTGCCTCAAGCTCAGCCTGACCTCCAAGCACCACAGGGCTCAGCGGCACAGGCAGCACAGGGGCAGGCACAGCAGAGATGGGCACTTGGGGCTTGGAGCAGCATGCTGAGCCACACGTGGGTGTCTCTGGCCAACACAGAGCCTGAGCAAGGCTCTGCTTTCCAGGCAGAGTAAGAACAGGTGGCAGCTCGCAATGAAGTGAGTCCTGCCTGGACTGATACGATCAGAGGTCAGGCGGGCTCCCTTCATGCACGCACAGCCAAGGTGAAAAAGCAGGAGGACATGACAGTGGTGAGATAACATAAAACCAGATCTAGCCTGGAGGTATGCAGATGGAGTGGAGGACAGGCACAGCTCACCATGTTCATTCCTTACTTATACATGAGAACTGAGTGCATTTCCATGACCCCTGGAGGAAAGGGATGGGGCAGAGCTTCCCGGGCCAGCCCCTGAGCCCGTCAGAGAGCCTCCTGGCTTGAGGTGAGAAACTCTTCTGCTCTCTTGTGGGCCTCCAGGGCCTTTATAGTGTAGACGTCCTGGGGAAGCTCAGATTTCCGGCGCAGCAAAACTTTGTCCTTCTTAATGTCTTTCAGCATCTACAGACAAACCGAAGGAGTCAGGGATCAGTAGCAAACCCCTTCACCCCTTCAGCCTCTGACTCCAACCCCTCTAGAATATGCTGGGTGACACTGCAGCCTGCTGCAGAACAGGCTGAGACCCAAACATAGACTAAAAGGACAGAGAAAAGTCCCACTCGCACTTTTTCCGGAGTGGGAAGGTTAGAGGGAAGATTAGATAAACTCTACTCTTCAGACTACAGGCTGATCTTTTAATGATCAGGGATGAGAGTAGGGTCATTTACCCTCAGAACACTTGGAAAGAGCCAGTTCTGGCTGCTGGACCCTGGACTGAGGGCAGTTGTGGAAGGACTCTAGTCACTTACGCACCTGCACAGCCTCCGTCTCCACTGTTTTCTTCAGTAGCTGTATATCCTCTGCAGTCGGGGTCTCTGTTTCCATACAGCACACAGAAGGCAAGGGTAGAGGTGCATAATACATGGGGTACTGCAGACAACACAGATAACTGGAGAGTCAGCACTCCGTACAACACCAAGCCTTCTCCCCCAGCATCCTAACACAGCATAGCACACTTCTAGCTGCCCTCTCTGGCCCTCACAAAGGTAGTAGTAGGTACACAGATAGGAAAGGAGCATCCTCTCCTACCCATTCCTACTGGTGCCCTCTGAGTCACGGCACACTGCATGCACAGCTGCAGCTGAGAGCACGGCCCATAAACATGTATGTGCATTACTTAGAGGTCAGTGCTACATAAATCCAGGCTGACTGTCAACATCACCAAGACACTGGGTTTTGGGAGGACAGACCACTGCTGCAGCAGTGTGCACAGGACTGGGATTGGGTGCTAAAGCCTGCTCTCATGGGCTGAGGAAGCAGGTTAAGACCCCCAGCACATTCTTGTCTCATTCATCCTAGGTCCTGTTGTCACAGAATCACAGAATATGCTGAGTTGGAAAGGACCCACAAGGATCATTGAGTCCAATCCTTTGCCCTGCACAGGACTATCCTGAAGAGTCACACCATCTGCCTGAGAGCACTGGCAAACGCTTCTTGAACTCTGTCAGGCTTGGTGCTGTGACCACTTCCCTGGGGAGCCTCTTCCAGCACCCAACTACCCTCTGGGTGAAACACCTTTTCCTAATACCCAACCTAAACCTCCACGGACACAGCTTCAGGCCATTCCTTCAGGTTCTGTCACTGGTCTCCACAGAGAAAAGATCAGTGTCTACCCCTCCTCTTCCTCTCATGAGGAAGTTGTAACTTATGGGGTCCCCCCTCAGTCTCCTTTTCTCCAGGCTGAACAGAACAAGTGACCTCAGGTGCTCCTCCTACGGCTTCCACTCAAGGCCCTTCACCATCTTCATTGCCCTCCTTTGGACACTCTCTAACAGCTTAATATCTTTCTTATATTGCAGTGATCAAAACTGCACACAATATTCAAGGTGAGGCCACCCCCATGCAGAGCAGAGTGGAACAATCACCTCCCTTGACCAGCTGGCGATGCTTTGCTTGATGCCTCCCAGGACACGGTTGGCCCTCCTGGCTGCCAGGACACTGCTGACTAATGTTCAACTTGCTGTCAACCAGGACCCCCAGGTCCCTTTCAATGGCACTGCTTTCCAGCGTCTCATTCCCCAGTCTTTACCTACACCTCAGGTTGCCCCATCCCAGGTGCAGAATCCGGCACTTTTCCTTGAACTTTATATGGTTGGTGATTGCCCAGTTGACACCCACCTGAGGATTCAGCCGGGCAAGCTCCTCTATTTTCTGCCACATTTCTTCTCGTTCCTTCATCCTGAACCTTCCCCTGCAGAGAGAGAGAGAGAAAGAGAGACATTAGCTGTGAACTCCTGGGGAAAGTGCAGTCTTCACTCACTGGATGAAAAAAGCAAGAGACAGCAGAAAAGTGAAGGTAAGGGGAAGAGCTGCCCTGTCCTTCAGAGACCCTACAGGTGACATGAGGCAAGAAGAGGGGACACACTGGAACTAGCAGAAGGTAGGCAGGCACACTCCTCACCCACCTCAGAGGATGCGGTGGCAACAGTGGGCTGCACAGGTACTTTTTCCCTGGCTTTGTGCTGCAGGAGTGGACCAGAGTGTCTGGTTTCTGGGGTAAAACAATGACATTAGTCTGGATTTCTAAGACACATTTTCCTGGCGCCCCACAGATGAAGAGGGACAAAATGACATTTCTAGTAGAGCCGGAGTTCCACTGTCCCCTGTTACCTCTTCCTGTAGCCATAACACACCAGCGAGCTGCCCCAACCCCCCAGGCACAGCCCGTGGCCTTGGTACACATTTTAAGTGACTGTTCAACAGGGCCACTTATAAATCCCAGGGCAGTGAATGTTCCCAGCAAACAGAGGTGAGCATCCACCACTCCTTATTCTCTTCTACATTTTAAACATCTGCACTAAAATCTCAGCTTTATTTCTGATTTTAACTATCCAGCTTTCATCCCAGCTACAGGTCTCTCTAGTGCCCTGTCTACCCATGCTAAGGAAGTTCTTTTACTCTGTAATGACATCACAACATCAACACAGAGTTGACCCTTCTTGTTCTCACCCAGAAAGGCCTCCTTAGCTGGGTCTCTGTGGCAGGTAAATCCAACTTAGCTGAGGAATTGTATCACGCTCACCACAGTAAAATCTCAAATTCTGCTGCTGAAAGACATTTTCACATCCTGCACACCAAGCTTTCAAGTGACGTTTTACCAATTTTGTTTATGCAGAACTGCAAAAGGTATATCCTTGATAAAAACCCAACACAAGGTTTTCTGAAGCCTAATTAGGCACAGAAGCACACTAGACAAACAAACAAACAAACAAAATCATCTTAACATGAGCAGGAAACAGTGCAGCTCTACCCATACATTTACTGGACCAGCTCTGAGCTGCTTTGTTGAGCTTTTCCAGAACAATCCTCCATCAGCCACACACCAGGACAGAGAACAGTCACTCTCAGCAGGTCAGCACGGGTAGAAGCCAAACACAGAGAAAAAGCTCCTAATGGAAACACCAGGTAGGTCTTGTAGGAAATGTGCTGTCACTGACTGAAAATATATATGCAGATATTTGTGGGCTTCCCAAATGCCCTCAAATGGGAAAAAAGAAATCTTGCTTGCTCCCATTTTAGATGTTAACAAAACCTTAGTTTCTCCATAAGCAGGTTACCCATCCAGAGCTCTGATTCAAAAATTAACTTCATTATTTACTACTATTCCACAAAACAATGGAATGTACCCCAGAACTCCCCACTCCCAGCAAGGATTAGCCCATCACCAGCCTTGGCTCATTCAGGAATGAGAAGCAGTATTTTCTGTCACTGAGTCAGAAAAAGACCCTTGAGAATAAAAAAAAATTATGAAGTTTCCTTCTAGCTTACTGGACTGACTCAGCTCACCAAGGCAAGCCACACAAGCACCAAAACCAGCACAAGGAAGCAGAAAACGTGGAGTTCTTTCCTCTTTACAGCACCATGGCACAGGTAATTGCTGAGCTCAGATTTTATCTCCACCATCTGCTCTTTGAAATTGCAGGAATTATTCCATCTTTATCACTGGAAAATTGAAAGCATCTCATGGTATGAAAGATGCATTATGCCCACTGCAGCAAAACTCTTTGGAGTTTTTTAAAGCAGTAGGATTCCACTGGCATCACTATAACATTTATGAGCTGGTAAATATTTCCAGCTCATATAATATGCAGAGCATAATCATCTCTGCAAAGCTGAGTATCCTCTACATTGCAATGTATTTCCTTATGACTCTGTCACTCTTTTCTAAGCTACCTGGTTCATCAGGACTGAAAGAATTTCTATCAGGGCACACATTTTATCTCTTCTCATCCCTACTCATAGTTACTGCTGAGGAATCCTACTTTTTTTACAAAATTACTTGTACCACCTTTCCATTCCCCTCTGCCAACTGGCATCTACCATCTGTTACTGTACCCAAGGAGACTTCGGGATGAGCTCAAGTAACTTGGCAAAAACCTGTTACTCACTTCTGCTTCTCTGCCTTGTATTGCTGTGTGCAGTCATCAAAAAGCTTTTGGTTCATCTCCATGAAGAGCTTCAGTGCATTGTAGATCAGCCCGTGGATTGTTCTGCAAAGAAATGAGGAAAGGAGAACAAGTCATAGTGGGCAGGTTCTGAGCCCTGAGTCAGCACCAGCAGCACAGACAAGAGGTTAACAGCAGCAGCAACTAATTCTATAGCTGTGTGACAAAAGATTTTTACGCAGTCCCAGCTCTTACCACAGGAAAACCTCTTCCACAAACAGAGCAGAAACTATACCACAGGGAGAAAGAGATGGAGAAGAAAGAGAAGACCACTGGGGTAGGTCTGCTCTACCATGATCAGAAAAATGAGTGCAAAAATATGCGTTCCTGTGGTCATTTCTTGTAGTAAAAAGTGGGAAAGGAAGGGGCCTGTTCAGGGCTGTTCTCAGGCACTGTTTAGTGCCTCACACAGTTCACCTCACATATACAAAATTACTTTTTTGGGCTGCCCAGTATTTGGTCACGAGCTTTGTCACTGAGCTGCCCAAAACACAGGCAGCAGCCCTGTAGAGATGGGAACTAGCACAGAGAATACCACAGAAGAAAAGTCAACTTTGTGCCAGCGATTTATGGATAGGTTGCACTCTGTGTGAGCTCCCTACAGGACAAAGACTCTCCTGGGGAATAAAAACAAGTGTTGAAGCTGTCTCTGAAAGGCCTGACCCAGAGGCAAAAGATGAGACTCAGAAGATTGAGCTCTGTGCCTCCACCAGCTCTACAGATGGAATAAGGGAGATGCAGCCATGCTGGACCAAGTAAAAGAACTATGGGAAGGAAGACGGGCATCTGAGGTACTCAACCTGCCCTGTTTTAGCTATTGCTAAAACAAAGACAAGGAGAAGTAAGAGGAAAACACTTTCAGGACTTCTTCTGTCATACCACTGGGAAGCAGACAAGAAGAAAAGACAGAAAGAACAGAATCATGAGTCTTGACTGCTGCAAGGACACAGAACTGGTGAAGGGTTTCAGACAAGAACATAAAGTCCTTTTCTGAACTTTGATCAGGAGGGGCAGTAAGACTGAATGAGAGAGCGTCTGAGTACATCTGTCTGCATGCACATGTGCACGCACATCACATGTATGTGTGCATGTGTGTGCCTATCTGCACATGCGTGTGCCCGCTGGTGTCTCTGGGTGTTTGTGTGTGGTCATGTCTGCACATCTGTGCCTATTCCAGGCTTTAGAGCACCTTGACTGGTGGCTCCAGTCCATGGTTCCTGATAGAATGGAGAGCAGATTAGTGGGGAGCTCTCTGCAAACAAGCTCTGCCTCACAGCTTTGCCTACCACAGTATACTACTGAGCTCTGGACTTGCCCAGCCTCCCTAGAATTAATTATTTTGCTTTTTTCCACCCTCAAGAATAGAAGAAGATGGCACTTGGTTTTGGTCTTTCTGTGGTTTTTGCTGAATGACTTTAGGATCTCAGCTGTGGACCAAGTATTTTCAGCTGATTCATTAAAAGGAAGTGTGTTAGATTAAATTAGCTAAACTTGAATTAACCAGGTAAGGAATCTAATGAAGGAGAAGCCAGTAGAAAAGAAGTCAATAAAAGAACCATAAAACAGAGAAGTGTCTAGGAATCAGACACAGGGGTCAATATTTGACATGGACAGCTGCCCAGTTAGTTCTGCTTCCTCTGTTCTTCCTGTACTCCAGGAGTCAAGCACTGCATCAGCCAAGGAGCTCACGGAGAACATATGGGAGGACCATTAGCTAAAAAGCAGGCAGAAGTTAGCGGGAAAACCTACAGCACACCTCAGATAGACTAGCAACATTACTGACAAGCAGGTATCAAAAGCTATGACGCAGTGGCCTCCAAGGCTGGTAACTGCAGGTGCCTCAACCCTTGCAGAAGCAGGCCTCAGTGGTCTGCTGCGGCCCTTTCCCATGCTGACATTACTAACAACCCCCCTGCTCAGCACCTGGTGCCACTGAACGCCACGCAGTGTTGCACTGCAGCAGCATGCCCCAAGATTGCCAGTGAGCCAAGCAATCCAGCACGCACAGCAAGTGCCAGGGCATGTGGGAAGACCTACTTGTTCCAGTGACTCTTGGAGTTCTTGTAGAGCGCTGGAAACATGATCGGGAGAATTTTGGCTGCATTATCGCTGATCAGGCTCATGATATATTCATTGTTCCAGTAGTACAGTGCTCGCTCTGCCACCTGCAGGGGGAGAGAAAGGCATCCTTGGAAAGGCTCCTTCCAGTAACATCTGTGGTACACAGCAAAGCCACCACCCAGTTGAGGAGCCCACATGCTTCATCACAGTACAGGCAGCAGGGCTGACCTTCATAAACTTCTACAAGGCCATTCATCCCTGCTTCCCAGCCTTCTTTGCCTGAGCCTCTGTCAGACACTTCTCACTTTCCTGGGAAAAACATAATGCTCCTGAACAGACAAGCCTACTGTCGACATACTGATGAGCCCAACACCCTTTATACAACACTTGAGAAGAGTAATGTCATCTGCTCCAGGTCCCAGCTCAGATTAGCACCAAACTCCTTCATTTCCTCAAATTGTCTTCTGTAAAGTTCCACTCCTTCCTGGCTTTTCCCACAACAGAGCCTCTCAGGACTTTGAAGCATGTTTAAGTCACCAGTCCCACAATTCAACCTCCTGATTTAGTAAGGGCGAAAATATGGAAAATCTTGGGGCAGCCATCCTGCTCTAACAAGACAAACAAGTCTAACAAGTTTCCACCCAGTGACAGACTCAACCACAATTCTTCATATTTACCACAAATCTGGGCAATGCAAGCTAATTTTTGCATTTAGAGCTAACTTCAGAATGGCTTAAAAAACCTAGAAAGAGAGATATCCAGACTCAGTTTTGTATTTCAGATGGAGAACTCACTATATGCCCTTTAACATATCATTCTACAGGAATAAACGAAGGGAAACTCACCTCGTGTTCACTTACCTAGCGTTTGGTTTTCCAGATCTCATTAAGCTTTTGTCTGCTAGATTAACAGACAACCCACTCAGAGAAAACTTACTCCACCAAAGTATTCAGACTTACCAAGAAGTCAATTCCTAATTTTGCTCTCAGACAAGCTGCAGACACAGAGACTGTTCAGCCTGACTGTATGGGACACTTTTGGGGTAAATTTTCTTAGGCTGTAAAGTGTTTGCACCTTCTCCAGGTTTTTCAGTCTTGTTTTTTAAAGAGTTTGGCAGCAGATGGTGGCTGCTATCAAGTGCAGGATGTCTCTCCTCCAGCCTTTACCCGACTTTATTCAATTTCCTTAGTTCCCTTTGGTAGCTCCCTCCACGCCCAAAGGTCACATTAGTCCTTTGGTTCCCATCACCACACCAGTAATCCATGCCCAGCTGGTTTCCATCATGCTCCCCCAGTCCTTTACAGGAAATTATCTTTTACATACACATGTGACTTAGACTGATTTTATTTTTGGCTTGTAAACACATGACTTTGTACCTGTCTATACCAAAAGACAGATTGAAGCCAGTCTGCCTCACTATGCAGTCACGTTCATTTGGGAGATGGCTACGTCACTATTTCTTTAACATCCCATCTATAACCGGGTCAACCAGCAAGTTATCTTTTTCCTGGGCACTCTTCAAGGCAATCTAAAACACTGAGCCAAAAACACCTGATGGAGCTACTAGCAGGTCCTACCACCCTGTACATTTTAAACCTTAGGACTACTATCCACAGAGATTGTTTCAGCCAGACACTGTAGCCAGCTCCCCTTCAGTGAGAACAAGGAAGAAGCAGATTCCAGCACTTTTTTAGTATACCTCAAGCTTGACCACCTATGCCAGAATAAAACAAAGTACCTTCTCTGCACAATCTCTTTGGCTGGCCTCCCTCCAGTGCTGCAGAATGCTTGGTTTTACTGCAACAGGGGGACACTGGATGGATCTCCTGTCTTTGCTAGCCAAAACAGGAGGTGGCAGAGCACCTGTGCTCCAGCTCCAGCCTGCTGCAATACACAGTGCTGAGGGGCTCCACTGATATGCTTTGTTTTCTCTTTGGATGAGCTTGCTCTGTGGTTGTGGTGAAGATTCTCACTGCTTCCCACCACATCACCCCAATACTCACCCAGGTCACACCTCCATGTGCCACTGATCCATAAACACAAGACCAAAAGATGTAGTGTCACCCTCACATGTCAAGTGGTTTACAAGTCAGTGTTCTATCCCCTTCCTGAGCTGCAACCCACCTGGAAGTGTGGGCTGGAGACACACTTGGCCAACTGCCTGAACAAGGGCTCCATAACTTTCACAAACTCAGACGGCTCAATCACATCCAGGATCTCCTCCAGCTCATTTAAAAACATCACCTCCTTGGGACTGTGAGTTTTCGGCCAGAACTTCAGCAAGCCCACAATCACCTGAGTGGGGAGGGTACAGAGACAGTGTTAGAGGATGAAAGTTAACAAAAATTTTTAAGGATTTGGTCACAACAGCAGAGGGGAGGAAGTAACACAATAGACTTTCTCAAGAAGTCAGGGGGGGTTACTGGGGAAGAAAGAAGACAAAAGCCCAAACTGACCTGTTACATTCATGACAGCAGCTCTGCCTAGGCTGCTACAGTTCTGTACTACAAGTACAAAACTTAGAACCACTTTTTTTCCCCAAACACAGCTTAACACAGAAGGCTGAAACTGGATTAGGCAACAGCTGGTAGACAGCGCAGAGTAACCATGAAAGACCAACTAATAACATGGCAAATGCTACAGAGAAGGTCTCTGAAGAGTCATTATTCAAAACACCACAGACTTTGAACATTGAGGAGCAACGAATAAATAATGCAATGGACGGGTTTGGGACAAGGAAAGGAAGTACTACTTCCCACAAAAGTAACCGGATTTTGGAACTCATTCTTGCAAAACTTTGTGGAGACTCAAAGTCCAAAAAGACTTGAGAATGTAGCAAACAAGTTTATGGAGTTTACAGCTAATGGTTATAATGAAATATGACAATGCAATATGACAATACTTCTGGCTAAGTAAACTATTGCTTACAAGATATGAGAAGAATATACTAGAGCAGGGCTATATCTTACTAGATTTTATTTATTTATTTTTAATACTGCTTCCTGTCCTACCCATCTGCTTCTAGACACTGTCAAAGGCAGGATTCAAAATCCTGCAGACTCTCACCGTGTAGAAAGAAAAAATGCTAACTCTATGGACACTAGGGTCACACACAGCTGGCAGTAGGAGTTAGTTCTCTTTCAAACCTGTGTATATCAGCTACCTGATCCTGAACCCAGCACTTGAGAAGTTCACAGCAGCAGAGGAAGAGTAGTGGGCAGCATTATGTTTCTGCCAACACAAGGTTTGAGAAGCCAGCAGTTTGTTACGCTCAGTGTTTGTCATTACTCATGTCTGCCATTCAGGCAAGAGTTAGCTTCAGTGACTCAGAAGTAATTTCTCCTACAGCTAAGGCGGTGTGAGATGTGTTGATTCCGTCTTTGCTATTACTGAGCACATCTAAGGCCTTGCTCACCTGGCAGTCTTTCAGACTGCTGTTAACACAAGAGTTGCCATGTCAAGCCTTGCTGAGCAAGCTTCTGGGAGGCCCACTTGAGGTGAGTGTGGACTCAGTGAGTAATCTGGCCTCCTTTCAGCACTGCTGGTAACATCTAGTGCATTCAGACTCTCGCTGATGCACAAGCCCTGTAATTCTCCCAGACTTCAATAACCCCAGTCATCTCAGGGGTCTACTCAAAACCTTCACAAGCAAGATGCTTTAACAGGACACAGCCTGTGGCAGCTTGGCCTTGGTATGTCTGGTTGAGACACAACGCAACACTCACTGAAGGTAATGAAATTGGGTCGTACCACTGCTTTCCATAAGCACCAAACCAGACCTGCAAGCCAAGTAAGCCAAGGGCCACTAACCCGTTACTCAGGAACCAGTGATGAGCTATGGAGCATTACTATTTGAATAAGATGCAAAATGAATCCTGGAAATATTGACAGATTTCTATTTCTCTCTTCTCCCTCACCCTAAGAGGTGCGTTGGCAGGAGGCTGTTGGACTGGATGTCAGCCACAGGAAGTACTCATCATGATCAGGAAGCTACTTTACACAGTTTGTTTTAGAGCAGGCTTTTGGGAACACAGGAAATGGAGGACCCATGATTAAAGGAAAAGCTAGGAGCTCTGCTTCAGCACTGCTGATGTCAGAGCTGTGGAGCCAGAAAGCTGACAACAGCTGACCAACTTCTATCAAGCAGTCATGCTCACCGTGAACGCCACACATTTAAGCCAGAGAACAGAACGACCTCAGCCAGCACTACTCATTAAAATGCTCACACTTTCTGGTGCTCCCTGCTACAGTGACACAAGTACGTGTTCTTTGCCCATCTGCTGTTTTGAATCTGTGAAGCTCAGCTCTGTAGAAGACATTTCCTGGCCTGAAGTGGGTGGAGGAACACTTGTCTCCTTCTTGCACCCTCTGCTAAGCTGGCATATAGCCTGGTTAGCACTGCAGGTCTGTGCAGCCAGTAACTAGAATATGGGAGGTCTCCACTGCTCACACATTTTAGAACCTGCTGTTTCCCAGCACTACATCCTGAAGGCAAATGTGTCTACAATGTGACTTAACACTATGAAGGTAGCAAACTCATGCTAAAGCTGGAAGGAGAATACTTTCATGAAGGAACAGTGACTTGCCTAAGTAGATCTTTGTGTCCCAGGTTCCTAACCTCACCTCCACAGTTTTGCAACCAACTCCAACAGTCTGGACGGGTCTCTACTATTTCATGGCCCCACAAGCTCCCACTGATGTCATCAGATGGTCAATGTGTTTTGTCTCTGCAGCAACTGTCACTAGCTGAAAGCTCTATACTGAAAGAACAGCTTGGTATAGTGTTTCTTCTGCTACACCAAGATCTGAAGCACTATAAACATCAAAGACTATAGCCCACCTTCATGAAGCTTTCAGGAGAGAATGCTAAAGACTTGCACATGAGTACTGCAGCCCCTTCTGCTCACAGGGAACCAGGCAAACACAGTAAACAATACCACTCACTGACTCCCAGCCTCTTTACAGCATGGGTTAAAAAAAAGGGTACTCTAAGGAAGCTGCGAAGCTTTTGGGGGCTTCACTGTCACGCAGAAGTTAAGCAAGATTACTCACTGGTTCTGTCAAACTGCTGTCTTTCTCCAAGAACTGTACAACACAGTACGCCAACTGTAGGAAAAAACATGGCAAGATTAGAGCTTCCTCAAGTGCACCTGAAATTAAAGTGCCACCATCCCCCCTAGGCTGGAAGTAACACCATAGCCATTCTGCTGCAGCTCTAAACAAATCCAGTTTTCTGATGGCAAGCAAAGGCTTTAAGCTCAAGTAGGCAGGGCCCAAGCTCCAGATATTCATGCAACATAAAGGATAAAACTTGAGCCACCTAGAGCAGCCACAGCCAATAAAATCAGATGCAAGCACAGCTGGACACATGGGGAGGAACAAACCTGTCACAGAGCCCTGCCCCATAAAAATAGGGCTGGGAGAACAGACATCACTACTCAGTACTCATACTTCTTGACTTCCTAGCCCAAGTTCTGATATTCTATATTCTTCTATTACGTTCTCAAAGTTTGAAGAAATTATTCATTATACCAGCCTAGCAGACCAGCACACCAATTTCTCCACGTATCTCAGCAGTGACTAACAGCTGACACACCACATGCACAGCTGGGGATTTTACCTCTCTGGTTCCAGCAGGGCCCAAGTATTTCACAAGCTTCAAGCACAGAAAGACAAAGCAGGCCACAGCATTAAGTCAGCAGGAAATGCCAGTGCCTGTCAGCCAGTGGCACAGGCCCAGGCACCACAAGGATGGGACAATCACTGCAGTAAGGGACTAGTGCAGAGCCCAAAACATCTCACAGCAAGAACTTTGTACAATGCAGTAATGTAGCCCGGTGAATAACTATAAAAAATGAGCTTATAAGCTAATATATATATATATCCATCTTATAACAACTCTAAACTTTTGCAATAATCCCAATCTGCCCTGGGAGTTTGAAGCACTTCTCACCTGTGGATGGTAGACACTCAGAGACTTCACTTTGTGCAAGGGTAACAAGACTCTGATGAGGAACATCTTGTGCTCTTCCTTCAGAGGTAAAGCAAACCCATTGATTATGCTGAGAAGAAACAAGAGTCTTGTTAACATAACATGTTAACATGTTATAACCCAGCAGAAATACAGTATCTCTCACTTCAAAGGCTCGCCCTAGCTCTCATTAGTCCCTTGAGAAGCACCCACAAAAAGTGTGGTCACTGTAGCCCAGCCTGCACACCATGCCCAGCAAGAGTGTGTCCTTGGCTGGCACCACAGGGAAACACCTCTGATGGGGTTTGGGCTCTGCTCCTTCCTGTGCCAGACTGAGCTCACACACAGTTAGGCAGAACCTCTGGGGAAGGCCAGCGCAGAGGCAGATCAGTGCTTGAGCCTTGTGCTTTACAGAACAGGAGGATGGCAGCGCAAGAGGGCTGCAAACAGAAGGGCAGTTAAGCCATGGTGAAGGCTGCCCATTGCTAAGACTTCTCAAAGGAACTGTTCTCTTTTACTGCCTGCTGAAGCAAGCGTGACTGGACTCAAACTCAAATGAACAGGAAAAAAATCTGGGGAGGAGAAGGTTATCACTGTACTTATCAGCAGGCTGGAGAGCACTTTCACTGTGTGCTCCATCAGGCTGAGATTGTCTGGAACAGGAGCCTCCTGCAAGGACTGCTGAAGGAAGGCACTACCAGCTCACCATGGGCCCTCTGGAATTTCCAAAAGTGGCCTTACCTTCCTAGGATCTCCAGTAGCTCTGCAATCCCATTGTGGTGCTCTGTTTCATAGATGAACCTAAAGAGGAGGATGAGAGGTCACTGCCAAATGCTGGATATAGTTTGATAAACAAAAGGAAGGAAAAATGCTGGAGACAGGGACTCTAAGGGGTACTAAGAAACACCTCACCTGTAAAATATATTATTGATCTGCCTCCTCACGTATGCTCGCAGACCCAGGAACTTCCCATAGATCCTGTGCAGAATAGTCTTTAGGAAGTCTCGTTCTCGGGGGTCTTCACTGTCAAAGAGATCCAGAAGCTGCGGGGAGAGAAATTTAGTCAGTATCTGCATAGTGCCTGTCTGGGCAAAGCTACCAGCAATGCTGGGCACTGCTCACACTCAGCAAAAGTGGCACTTTCAGCTGATTGATGCCCCCAGCACCCTGAGCACAGTGGTCATTTCCCTGAAACACGCAGCCTCCTAGTCACAAGCTGGAACCATCGTCACTTCTTTCACCTTCAGGAACACAGTGATGGTCCACCCTTTCTACAAAGCTGAATGTCTCCAGATTTCCCCTGCAAGGCTCCCGCTCCCCTCTCCACCTGCACAACAAGTTACGAGTGACTACAGCTCGCACACAGTTTTGCCCTGCGCAGAAAACTCTGTCTGCTCATTCAAGACAAGGGAATAAAGAAAAGTCACATCATCAAGCACCTGCTGTCTAAGCTGGACTGTTTATGTAAAACCTTGACCCAAATCTGCTGCATGTCCTTCATAAAGGTGGTGCACAGTGGCAGAGGAAATGATTACTTACAGACAGTACAAACTTCTGGTCAATGTATTTCTTGGCTACGTTTGGTTGGAAGTCAGGCGATTCCAGGAACCGGAGGAAGAACTCATACACCAGCTATGGAGGGAGAAGGAGAGATCAATTAGAAATCCCTCTGTCCTCTCACCAGTGTTTACTTCAGATTTTAAATGTTTTCCTTCTCCTTAAGGATTCAGGGAAAGGCTGGAAAGCCTGAACACGAACACAAAACCCAGTGTTTCCCCACTCAGTGGGATCAACTTGGCTGCCCTTGCTCTAATGGGCAGGGGTCTGGTGGCACATAACTGCCCAATCATGAGATCTCATCACTTCAGGTCCCCCCATAGACAACATCCACCTACTCAGATTATGACACTAGGCCTGGGAAACTCTTCTCACATCTTCAGCACACATCTCTACAGAGAACAGAAACCTTCAGAGATGGCAAAGGCTGAGGCTTCATTGGAAGTCCTTGAGACATGCCAAGGAAGAACAGAAAAGTAGAGAAATGAAACAGACTCCAGGAAAACATGCTGTGTCCTCTGCCTCCTGGGGACTGACTCCAGGTTGGCTTGGCCCCACTAAGCCATGTGAGCTGCATGCTGTGTCCCACTTGGACAACAAAGAGCAGCTTGCTTTAAGGAGGCGGTCAGTGCTGAAATTCTGGCCTCGCTGTCCTCTTAGAGGGATGAGTCCATTCCAGGGCTGACCCTGCCTAGTGCTTCTGAGGGGCCACTAGGCCAAACAACAGTGATGCATTCCAAAGGTCTGACTCTGGAGTTGAAGGAATTATAGGGCCATGCGTGCACAGCAGGCGAAGGACAGCAGTACAGAAAAAACAGAGGTGATGACCAACAAGCTTAGCACTCAGTTGCCACAAATCCATGCTGGCTGCTGCTGGCTCAATTTTGAGAAACAAATGCTTCCTAGCATCCATTGCACGTGATGAGGACACGCTATTTCTATTAACGTTCCCATCCCTTTGTCAACTGCAGCAGTAAGAAGTGATTAACCACTGCTGCAGATCTGCACCTTATTTCTTCTCTGTATTTTCTGCTTCATTCTGCAGTACCTGGCTCATGTTCTGCCTTTGTCTGCTTGTCAACACATCCCTGTGCAAGTGCCTGGGCTTACCTTCTGACTTCCACTGCTGAGCTCTGCTAACCCATACTGTCACTTTCATAACCTAGTTTGTCTTAAAGTCTGTTTCCCAGGGAACACAGCCTAATGAAAAGGTCCTTGGCTCCCTTCCCCTCTTCCTCACCCTCCAGCTCCCTATCTTTTCTTGTCAAACATTTGCTCACAGTAAATGCAGCTGAATTACATCCAGCCTACAGGAGGCACATTAGCAGGTACCAGCACAGGCTTTGCTTTGGCACCAAGCAGCCCTTCTCTTCCATGTACCTCCCAGGTAGCTGGGCAAGGTGAGGAGAACTGAAGCAGACAGGAGTGCTGTTTCCAGTGCTGCTGAAGCCCAAAGGATGCGGACTCTCAAGTCTTCGTAAAGGACATTAACACCGCTGAGAACTGCTTCTTACATAGGCAATACACCACAACTCCCTCACTCCTAGCAAAGTGTTCACTCCCAACTATCTCAGGGCCATGAGGGACTACCAGCATCTGCAGGCGAATGTTGCACACAGCCTTCAGCCAGTTCCCAAGACACCCTTGCTGTCTGTACTGCCTAAGAGCCACCTCTGACCCCTGTAGGCAGGCCTGGTCCTTCCCCAGGAACCCTTGCAGGATGGTGAAACAGCCAGTGGCAGGACTAGCAGTCTCCAGCTCTACATGGACTCTTGACTTCCTGGAGATAAATTCACCAGATCTGTACTTCCCCCTCCTCCTCACCTGAAGGTGTGGCCAGGCAGCCTCTAATGTAGGCTCATCTTCCTCAGGGTCAAACTCTGCTCCTGTGGGATTGGACGATGGTGGGAGTGTCCGGAAGAGGTTCACTGAAAACTAAGGTGAGTGAAAAGGTGCGTGAATGACATCCCCACACTTCATGATGGTCCTCCACATAGCAAATCTTTCACTGCAGAGCAACATATTGTGGTTTACCATAAACACAATCCTGTACCCACAAACCAATCCCTTCCTGCAGGCTGTAGGGTTACAGTCTGCATAGGAACTCCACAAGTGCAGTCTGTGCCTGAGACAAGAGCTTCCACCTCTCCCTACAGGCACTGTCACCAGGGCATCCCCCCTGCTCCCCCTTCTCTTTCTGGAGGTGGGCAGATAATAACAAATAGGTAGGACTGGTGTCGCATTCTGATAAATCCCTATCCCCTCCTCCTCCCCACACATCTGAACAGTCCCCATTTCTTTGGCACACAAGCACATACTAGCCTCATGCCCTACCATGATAACAGCTTCAGGATAGATAGCCTCAGTGACGACATCACGGTTGTGTGTGATGTACTCCACCATCTCATTGAGGCCTGCTCTCTTCACCTCCTTGAATTTCAAGTCACTGAGGGGGTCAGAGATGAAGTCAAAAAGCACACAGCACTGCCGCAGCTTCTGGATGAAAAGCTCTTCTCGTTCGTGTGGAGGAGCATCTGTCAGAGAAAGCAGGGACATCTGTCCTTGAAGATAGGCAGAACATCCTCCTGGTTTCCCCAGATATCAATGTGGTTTGCTGCCTGTGTTTTCCCCCTCCCCTGTCACATCCTCTTTGAACTTGTGGGTGGGGAAGATGGAGAGGCAGTGTTGCCCTTGCTATGGACATGGAACAGTGGAGGAAGAGGGATTGCAAGGCCTCTGAAGCAACTATCTCACGAGGGGATTTCAAACACAGTAGCAGTTTCTAATCTGATAAGCATCGATCTCTTCCCTGTACAGGGTACTCTGGAAAAGAAACTCAACTAGTTCTCATCACAGACCAGTGACACCTGTGCCCTGAACCACACAGACACAAAGGGAGCTGGACAATGCACACTGTAGCCTAACCTTCTGCCCAGAGTGCAGTGCAGAAGAGAGGGGCCAAAGTGGCAGGGGTTCTATATTAACAGATTCTCTTTTTTCATTCCATACGACTGGAAACAATGCACTGCCTTAGCCAATGACACAAACTTACCTCTTGCTTGCAGAATGATACTGAGCTGCAAGGCAGTTGCCCTTCCTAAAAGGGCTGCCTGTGTTTGTGAGCCACATCAGCAATGGGTCTGGCTGAGCAATCGCTGAAAACACTTTCTTCTTGTCCACACTTAAATCATGTTTAATCGCAACATTATGTAGACTAAGTGTTAATACCAAGTAATTGCCCTAATGTGGAGAGCTTCAACAGCACTACTACAATTTGCAATGGAAACAGAATGAGGAGGAGGCCTAGTCCTCCTCCAGGAACAGATGGCTGTAGGAATCAAGGGTAGTCTGCACCAAGGTCTCTGCACTCCACCCCTTCCTCCATAACCTGCTGAAGAATCTGAAGCAGTCCTCAGTACATACAATCACGAGAGTCTAAACAGTTCAAATGGGAAGGTAAGTACTGAAGTTTGCATTGAGAATCTTGTGATTTTTTTTTTAGGCCATCCATCGATTCTCTACCTGCTGACAAGCCAAGCACCTTTCCCATAGTATCTCTGCTGCACTGCCCACTAGACTAGCCAGACACTGTCAGGGCTGCTTTGGGAAGAGCCCTTACACCATCACACTCTGCCTGAAGAAGGCACAGCTTGTCATGCAGGTCACTCCCACCCCACAGCTTCTTTACCTTTAAGGGCCGGGAGTTTTTGCAGTTCCCGGTTTTTGCTCAGATTGAAGCGGGAAGAGCTGTGCCGGCGCTCCTTTTTCACAATCTGGGGTCCCCCTGAGTACTTGATTTTATTCAGCTGGGTTGGTGGGGGAGCGCTGTTACTGGGCCGCTTATTTGACGTTGGCTGCTGCTGTGGTTGCTGTGGTTGCTGCTGAGGCTGCTGGGCCTGATGAGAGACAAAAAAGTACAACAACTCAGAAGCCTTTTACCTACAGACCTCAAAAGCAATTAGACACCATCAGCATCTTCTTAGACTGAAGGAACTGGGCAGGTTTTTCACTGTTGTGCTTGCAGTTAAGTGCACCTCACCCGTTCCTGCCAGCTCTAGACCTGTTGGTTGCATCTGCAGCATAGTAAAGTAAACATCAGTTTTACTCATATCTGCAAGGTAGCACAAAGACACTGTAGCCTCTTGGCACAGCAAGCGCTATGGATACGGAAAGCAAAGTCACATCTTTCAACAGGTTACGGAAGTTTGTTGACAGAAGAAAAAAGCAGAAATAAAAACTTCCTGTGGTTCAAACAGAAATCTCAGGGTGCTGCTATCTCCAATTACATCATTCTGTACAATATACAGCAAGCAAGTTTAGAAAACTAGCAATTTGCTTCTTTGCCCTTGCACAGGGAAAAAGCAAAAAAAAAAAAACAAACTGGGGAAAAGCAAAGCAGTGTGTAGTACAGAGCAGACACAATGGCCCTGGAAAGGCAATGGTGAAGACCACTAAAATAATTGCTGCATCCATAGACCAGGAGCACCAAGTCTACAAACCGCATGGACTGTACATGCATACACAACCTTACATCCCAGGCTGCGGGCTCTCCCAACTCACGCTGGCTGCTCCATCCTCTCAAGCTGTCTCCACCTCACTGCTGTCTGAACTTGTGTAGATGTGCTTTTATCACATCACCCCTTTTAGCCACACTAACTCTTTGCCTGCACTTTCCTCTCCCACTTCACGCTTGCTAAACTGCACTTACAGAGGTACTTTCTCTTTTTTAGCACATGACCAGAAACTGAAGCCAGTGTTTGCTCAGTTCAGCTCTATTCTAACCTTGCTGAAGCTCTGCTGGTTCAAGTCCCACTTGGGTCATAATGACTCAATAACTGACCCTTTCATTTCACACTAACCCAACCCGTGGAAAACTTAAGAGAGGAGAGGGTAACATCTTGTCAGCAGGCCTATAGCAGAGGGTTCAGCTGGAGACAGCACCCAGCCTACTGCACTGCTGGTACATGAAGCCAAGGATCTGCAGGATGAACCTGTTTAGGATACAACAGGGATAGCACAGTGGATGGGGAGCAGAGGTGGGTGAAATCCTTGGGCGTTATTCCCTTCTTCCTCCAGAAACTCCCAGCAGCCACATGGAGCACAGCAGTGCATACGCACACCTCCCCAGAACACTGACCAGCAGTACTCTGAGGGAGTGACCAGCAGTGCAGAAGCTTACCAGAGCTCACCATTCTCCAGATGAGGTATGGCCAGTCTCTTCCAGTGAGGAGCAGCTGAGCTACAGCTTACTCTGCACAGCCCTTTTCCTGAACTGGTTTCCAAAGAGGTGCAGCACAGCACTACAGTGCAAGAGCAAGAGCTACTGCACCTGCAGCATGCTGGAAGGCAGCAAGGTAGGAAGAGGGAAGGCTGTCTACAAGGAGACGCTGCTCTACAGATCTGGATCTGTAGAGCAAGTGCAAAGACTCCCTGTGGAAAACAGCACCCAACACAAAACACCAATTGTTTTGCCAAGCCATCACTTTTTAAAGAGAAATCAGAAATATTTTGGTTCCGGTCTGGCTCTGTTTGAAGGAAATTTTGAGTGGTTCTGTTTCAAGATCAGTTCCAAGCCAAAGGGGAGGGACAACAAGATTTGAACTCTCTTCAGTTTTACATTTGATCTGATTCCTTTCATGGAGCAGCACTGTCCAATAATGAGAGGAGGGAGCAAGATGAGCTCTTGCTTTCTGATGAAAACAGCAGTGTCTGCCAAACAAAGCAGGCCCAGACTACAAACTGGAGGTAACTTATCCTAAACAGTGTTCTCTCCTCAATTACATCAGGACAAATCCTTGCTGGCAACCTTCCAAGACTTAAAAGTTTATTCCTCACTCTGAACATTTGGTGAGCCACTCAGATGTTGTCCAGATGCCTTTGGGAAGGCTAGACCTCTACTCTACATCACTCTCCTTCCACAGGGAAGAGGGGCAAAACCCAAACGCTGAGCCATCACAGAGAAAAGATCATACAGAGAGAAACAGAAGATGCATTGGTGGCCTCACAGATAACACTGAAGGAAGCAAGACACACGGGCAGCTGACGAGACATGCTCTACACTCCTCACTCACCCAGAAATGCCACAGGCAAATGTTCTGAGCATGGCATGTCCACTGCATGTGAACAGGCCAGATCAGGGGGCTAGAAAAGTCCTTGTCACTAGTATTCAGTAGTCTACAGTCTTCAACAGCTTGCATGAAGAGAGGCAAAACACAGCTTCAGGTTTAGTTGCTAATTATTTAAGAAACAGCGATACATGTGCAAAAGTCACACAACCAAGATTGCTAGAGAAAACCTAATGATTGGGGAGGTCAAATATACTCCTATGCTGCAATGCTCAGAGGGTTTAGGATGGATTGCTTCCATAGGAACTTGCTGATATCAAGTTGAATATCTGCTTTCAGGAGGTGCTTCCTGTGGCAGGCTTGCTGCCCTGCTGCCTTCAACACCTCCTACCTTGGCCACATGAATTAGAAGCAGCTTATTTTCATTTTCCTAACACTTTTGTCTTTGAAGTTCCCATCCCTGAAAACACAGTAGGCTGCTGAACCTGAAAGCTCTTCTCTTCATGCACAGGTATCAACCTCACAGATTGTTTCCCCCACACCAACAGCAGCTAACCGCTACGTGGTTGCAGGCACACAAGTACCTGTCAGGCTCAGCCCCTCATGACAGGCAGGGCTCACACCACCACAGCAAAGCCAACAGCCTGGGAGACACTGTTTCACAGCAGCTGTTACACTGCATATGCTGAAGTGACCAGAGAACAGCATAGAGTTGTTCACCCAAGTGTGGTGTGGCAGCCCCACCTTTCCCACTGTGGTGGAGCAGCTACTTGTACCAACAGGACAGGCCAGCCCCAACTCCCCCAAGCACAGGCTCCCTGGCTCCATAGCACTTCCTCCCCACTGATTCTCACCATCTCTCCTCCTTGCTAGGAACCTGTCTGCACAAGCCAATGACCCCAGGCCCTGAGCTTGCTCTTCACCCCAGGCTCCCAGGGACAAACATCCTCTTCCCCCAGCCACCCTGAGCTGTGCAGCTTTTCCTCCGCTCCCCCACCCATGCATGACCTCACCTCTGCAGGCACTCCTACTGCAGCTGGGTGCATAGCCATTCCGAAAGCCCTTCTGCCTCACTGGTCCCTGGAGCATCCCCTGCTTGCTAAGCTTCTCAGCCCAGATCTGCTCTCAGCTCCTCCTCCTATGATGACTCTTTCCTTCCCATCCCTCAAGTCAGTACCTGCTCTCTTTGTCTGCTGTTACACAGCCTTCCTATTAAAATCAGGCTCTCTGCCTCAGAAGTAACATCAACACACTGTAACGCCTGTCTCTGAATAACAAACTCCAGGTACTGCAGTAACAAGTAACAAGATATCTGCAAAACACGAAAATACAGCAGATCAGCGAAAAGGAGCACCCTCTCCCAGAGCTGCAAATCTCATCAGCGAGACTCCAAGCTGCCCTCTCTTTACTGCTGCTAAATCCCTGCTCCCACTTCCAGGTCATTAACTCTCTTCCCCACCCAGCTGCCTCTCCCAGTCTTTCTGGCCAGCAGGAGTAACTCTTTCTCATCCTCTCATCCAATACTGCCTTGGTCTCTGACATTACTTTTTTCTCTTTAAACAGCTATTCAGAAATTCTCTGCATTCAAATATACATCATGTTCCAGAGGGAATGAACTAAACAAACCTTTCATTTCCCACTCCTTGCTCTTGTGTTTTACTCCTTGTCTCTCCCCAAGCAAATTGCCCCCACGAAAGCCAGGGACTGGCAAAGCTCTGCTGGCTCTTCACATCAGATAGCTTCACCCCAAGATGAGCATCTAACTCTGTACTTAAAAGGGAACTAAAATGCTTGCCTTCCCTTGTGTGGATGCCTCTGCTTATGAACATTTCTGCCCTTCCAGGTCAGCTCCACTAAAAGCTCCTTCGCAGCAGAGAACAAAGCACTGTGCTTAAGGGTTTACGGACTGACTCCTACCCTCTTTGTCCCCCTCCACAGAGATCCCCATAGGAGCTCCTCATCCACAGTATTTGCCCAGATCTGCCAAATCAGAGCCGCTCTTCAACAAGCTTTACTCATTCCACCAGCCAGACAACTTGCCTCCAAAACAAGTCACAACTTTCTGGTACTGGGATAAATTAAGGTTGAGTCCTGCCCTGCTCCATGGTGTGAGAAAGGAAAGCACATACAGGAAGAGAGCTGCCCAAATGCTGCTCCCCCACCGCAAACCCATTAAGCACCTATTGAGGTACAAAGAAAAAGGAAAAATCTCTTTGGTGCACACAATTTTCATCCTAGATAAGGCAACCAATCAACCATAACTCCATGGATGAATTCACAGGGCATGAAACTCTCCCAGTGGCAGCAGAGGTATCCAGGCTGGGCTCAGGCCATCAACCCCACTAGACAATATCACTCTCAGCATTTCACAAGTCAAACCACCTCCTGCTTCTGACACAAGGAAGGAGTCTTGCTCCCAGCAGGTTACCTAATTCCTCACAGTCCCCCAGTGTGAAAGTCAAAATACCTTTCTGTGCTTCCTGAAGAGCAAGAAAATCGCATTCAAAGTGGTATGCATTTCTTCATATCAAGCAAAGAGCACTCTTCCATTCTGCAGCAGAGCAGTCCAGAGACAGAGAGGAAAGCACCAAGAGAGAACAAACTTCATTGCAGAACCAACAGGGAAAGGGAGAAGAGACCTGTGGTACTGCACACTGCAGAGGTGTCTCCTTTCTGCTCTGCTCTCTGTTCTTATGATCAAAGGAAACCCAGCTTTCCATCTTAAAGAAGGGCTGGATTATGTCTGGAGTATGAGGAAGTGGCTGGGTATGTTTTGTGGGAGGGGAGGTTAGACGCATCACTTCTAAGTTTCTTCTGCAGCCAGGCAGACATTACATGCCATTTCAGGTCACAGAAGGAAGCTTGTAGCCTGTGACATTCTTCTCTTCTTACTGCAACATTTGTGACCAGGAGAGCAATGCCCCAGTCCACCACTGATTTGGATGGGCACATCAGAGTGCTCTGCTTTCATGGCTAACCATTACCCTTGCATTGCAAAGACCCAGGATTTCCTTCCTCTTTCTAGAGCTGTGAACGCAACAGAGAGTGCCAAACAAACAAAAGGTAAATTTGACCCCATGATGCCAACACAGGAGTTCTTTCAATTCTTTGGAGTCTTCAGGTATCTCTCCCAGCAAGCCATTTTCAGCTGTATACACAAAATAAAACAGGCAGAGGAAAGGCCAGGTTGCAGGATCTACAAAACTGCGCTACCTGCTCCAAGGCAAACAAAGTCACATTCTGATTCCTTGCTGGCCACACGGCAGGTTAGGCATGAGCACAGCTTAGACCCTGAAACTGAGTGGCTAATAGTGAGGCTCTGTAACACAGACCTACGCTTTGAAGGAGACTCTAAAATCACGTTACTTTGACTACAACCACGCCACTGAACTACACATTTTTTCCTAGTCTTCATTAGCCTTACATGTCTCCTATGCCCAGTCCTCCAAATTACAAACACACCCTGTTCCAGAGAAGACTCGAGCACACAGGCTTTCACAGATACAGAAGTGGCACAGCTTGTTTGCCAAACTGCAGTATTACAAAAAAAACCCAAACCATACATATACACATGCTTCCTTGGACATGCATACAACACTTTTCTGAGCCAGTCTTCAAATTCCACAACTGCACTGAGTGCCAGACAAACTCAAGACTACCAGAAAAGTTCCAGCATACACAAATTTCTTCTGATTCTAAGCACAGCTTATCATAACATCATATTCTGCTGAGGCCATTCTAACACATCTAGCTTGGCAACATCAAAACTGAGAGTGAAAGAGACTCTGCACATCTAGGAATACAGACTGTGCCTTCTTGTGAGGAATGCTGTGCTCAGCAACATGGCTGTTATATCAAAGGAGAATCATTTAATCTGTAGCAACTTATCCTTTCAAGTGTTCCTATCCATAACTTCCTAATCTCACTCCTCCAGAAAATGCCTCAGAAGAACAGCTCCTTCTCTATTGCTTCTCATTACTCTCCCACTCCGACACGAAGTGACAACAGTTTATTGCGCTTTGCTCTGACAGGAGCACGGCAGCTGCTCCCATCTGCCAGGCTTCCTCCTCCTTGATAACCGTGGCTTGTCTGTTTCTGCAGCCAACTTTGCCATGCCCTGCCCAGCTCTGCGAGCAGCGCTCGCCATCAGCTTCATGCCAAATCTCTTTTTCCAGGTCTTTAGGGTATGAGACTCATCCTGTCTCTTCCATAGTCATTGTTCCCTTTGGGCCAACTTTCAAGAGGAACTAACTACCACCTTCTCTGATTTCTTAAGATCCTAGCGATGTGTTATCTGGAAGAACAGCTTGAAGTAGACGGAATGAAAGATTTATTCCTCCCCAAAGATGAGTTGTACATGCATTGCTGTACTGAAAAGCCTTACCTCTTCCGAATTCTCTGCCCCACCATCCTTCCCGCTACTGCTGCTGCTGCCAGGCTTTGTGGTGCTTTTGGTAGACTTTGGAGACTCCTGAAAGGATGAGAACATATTCAGAGAAAATTTCACCTTGTTCAGAGTTTTGGAATCTCTCTGCAGAGTTCAAGTGTGCACTGTCACAGACCACCCCACCTCCGCCCCCGCAGTACGCCCCGTTTCTGGCATTCACTCCCAGCCCTCTTCGGCTGGGAAAGGCACCCTGAAGGGCTCCTCTGGTAGCGGACCGGGGGCGGAGGCCACGGACCCAAGCCCAGGAGCGCTGCTGGCACGTCCCGTCCCGGTCACCGCAGGCTGACCCTGGCCGGGCACCTGCGGGTGACAGGGCCCCGCGCCCACCCAGACAGGGCCAGCCCATCACCGGGGCTCGGCCCCATCGGAGACACAAGGTGTCAGGGCACCCAGAGGGGGAGAGGCGGATCCGGGCCCTCACCCCGCCGGCGGGGCCGGGACACGGGTGCGGCCGTACCTCCCCCACCGGGAGCATCCCCGCGGCCCCTGGAGCGCGCAGGGCGGGGCGGGGTGGGCCGGGCTCGTGGGGGGGGGCACGGGCGGCGGCACCGGCGGCCGCCCCTCCCGCCTTCCCTGCCGTTCTCGCTCTCCCGGCCCGGCGCGCGCCCCCGCCGCCCTCCTGCGCCACCCGCCCCGCCCGCCGCGGGCGCGCGCCCCCGCCCCCTGCCGGCCGCAGCCCCGCGCGCGCCCCCGCCCGAGGGCCGCGCCGAGGGAAGGCCGCGGCGGGGAGGGGCGGCGGGAGCGAGCGGCCGGTCACCGCGCCGCGCGCAGGGGCTCCCCCGGCGCCGTCGCCGACCCGAGGCCGCACCTTCTCCTTCTTCAGCTTGTAGGGCATGGTGAGCGCTGCGCCCCGACCCCTCCGCGCCCGCCGCTGCCGCCGCTGCCGCCGCCGCCTGCGCCCGGGCCCGGCCGCAGCGCCCCGCTCCCATTGGGCCAGCCGCGCCGGCCTGCCTAGCAACAGCCTCCGCCGCCGCCGCGAGCCGCTGACGCAGGGCGGCCGAATTTTCTCATTGGCCACACGGAGTGTGGGCGCCGGGCACGCCCCCGGAGGCGGAGCGGGGCGGGGCGGGGCCGAGCGCGCGAGCGGGTCTTCCGGGGCAGCCGCGCCCGCCGCGCCAGGACGCGGGTTGGGCTGGGCTGGGCTGGGCTGGGCTGGGCTGGGCTGGGCTGGGCTGGGCTGGGCTGGGCTCGGCTCGGCTCGGCTCGGCTCGCTGGGGGACACAGAGAGATCCAAGCCCTGCGGGAGTGACTGCAGCAGCAGATCCCCACGGGACGCTGTCAGCGCTCGGCCACGGCGGGGAGACGTCGGGCTGCCGCCCGGGGCTCCCAGATCCCCGCTGCGTGCAGGTGGTCCCCGCAGAGCGGGGTTAAAAGGGACCAGGGCTCCTCCTCCTGCCGCGTCCTGCTCGGCTCTCCATCGCTCGGGGAGGAGGAAGCCCAACATCCTGAGCTGGTTCCAGGGCTGCAACCCACCTTTGTGTGCTTGTTGGCACTCCGATGAATAGTTCTGGGGAGGCTGCCGGGGGATATAATGGGGTCAGTGAAGCTGGTGGATGGATGGGTGGATCCAAGGATGGGTGGAAATGTGTGTGTGTAAGCACTGCGAGGCCCAGCACAGCCAGAGCTTTGCCCCTGCTGACAATGGAGAAGGCTGTTCCTGGGACATGGGTCCCAGGACACTTCCCTACTCCCATGGGGCAGCTTGAACAGCTCATTGGCAGGTGGTCCTGCATCCTTACAGTAGGAGGATGGCCTCCAGCAGCCTGCACATATTTCCCTCAAGGTGATGTTCAACGTGGGGAAAAGCAAGCAGCTGGTAGCAAGCTGTTCTTCAGTTCATGGACATGAACTGAGCAGGACCTGCTTGCAAAGGGCCACCTCATTAGGGGTAATGATGTCTAGAGGGTCTAAGGTCAGTCCTTATTGTCCTTAAAGTGGCTGCTGGCCTGTTGCAAGTGGTGTAAGAGCTCCCATTCACTTTAGCCGAGCAAGTGGTAAGGATCTCATGGAATGTGGCACATCCGTGGGGAGAGAAGTGGGGGACTGGGCAATGTCAGTGGTGCTTCAGCAGGAGCAGTCTCTTCAGTCATCAGGTGAACAAACTTGGCATGGCAGGTGGGGAAAAAAAGGGGCAAGGGGCTGTGATGGTTCCAGGGTGTGGGATCCTCAGCTCAGAGTGGGCAATGTGAGGGTTTATGCACTAGGGGCTTGCATCTCCTTCTGTGAGAGTGCTCAGCTGCTGTCCTCTCTCACTGCCTGGGTAGTGCAAGCTGGGGACTTCAGCACCCCTCCTTCCTCATAGACTGCTGGGGAAAATGGGCTTCCCACTGGAGCTGCTGCTAGCTCATGGTGTCTACTGGGAGGTGTTTCAGGCTGCAGCATCCACTGTGGCACACGGTGGCCACCAAGGTTTCCTCCAAAAAGAAGGCACTGGAGAAGACCTCAGGATGTTCTTGCTGCATCGGATGCAGGCAGGGTGAACAGGTGGCATTGGCAGGGGACAGTGGGAGGGGCCCCTGAGCATCATGAAATGCTTCAGGGCAAGGGGGGCATTGGATGGACCCTGGGGCTTCAGGGGTTAAGCCCCTGGGGCTAAGGGGGCAAGTGGAAACACCCTTTGGGGAGCATCATGGGCAGCAGTGCTACTAGATGGCTCAGTGGGTTAGGGGCTTTTTTGGGTTCAAATGGTTGGGAGGCAATGGGCAGGGACTCAGAGCAGCAGAGAGCTATTGGAAGCTCCAGGTGGATAGCAGCCCCACTTTGTGGGGAGTTTCCAGGGGTTAGGGAAACAGTGATGGAAAAAGGGGAGGGGGGGGGGTGCAAGGCAAAGGGACGCCAGTGGGGGGCAGGACTGTCCCATGCCAAGCCCCTGCGTCCACGGGTCCCGAGGGGCTTGTGCCGCAAGTGCCTCATCACGCTGAACTAAAGCATGGAGACGGCTTCTACCTCCTCATGGAGCCGGCCCCTTCTGGGCACATCCCGGAGTGGGTGCTTGGCGGATCGTGTTCCCCAGCCCAGGTACTGAAGAGCTTCCTGGAAGCCTCTCTTTGTCTCTACATTTCTGACTGTTGCACTGCACCCTTACTTACTCTCCCTCCACACCTCTGCTTGCTCCACATCTCCCAGTCCGAGCTCTCCTCCTCCTAGGGGAGCCACTGGCCCCTGACCTTCCCAACAGCTCCTTCCTCGGCCCCTGACCTTCCCTGCTGCACACCTGCCATGTGCCCCTGCCTGCCCACAGCACATGCTGCCTCTCCTCTGCAGGGACTTAAACCTGAAAAACATTCTCCTGGACAGTGAGGATGACGTGAAGGTCTCCAGATTTTCCAGAAGGGCGGTCCTGCAGGATGTCAGTGGAGAGTCCCTTGGGACCTCTACACATCCGAAGCTGCCCACCAAGGCAGTGCTGAGCCAGACCTTCTGCCAATCCTATGGTTATGCCTGTCCTGAGATGCTGCAGGAGAAGCCCTGTGACCTCTTCCTGGAAAACACATGGAGTGCTGGAGTCATCCTCTGCGCCCTGCTCCAGCACTACATATGTTGAGATGCCACCAACCGGCGGCACGTCCTGCACCAGACCCAGAAGTCTCCTGTCTTCCCTCAAAGGTAGCCCTTACCCCACACTGGGGCAAGGGGTAAGGGGGCTGGGAGCAGCCAGGGTGAGAGGCATTGGAGAGGCATTGGGGAGCATTGAGGGCATTGGGAGGAGGAGAGCAAAGGATGGAGGTCAGGGGAATGGGCTTTTGGGGGGCATTTAGGAAGCATTAAGGGAGAGCTAGGGCCACGGAGAGCTTTGAGGGCCATGGGGAGGGTGTCAGAGGGCATTGGGAGATTGTCAGGGAAGAGCTGGAGGGCACTGCAGGAGTTGTGGGGGCATTAGAGGAACTAAGGGGGATTGCGGTCAGCTGGGGCACCAGGGGCCAGGGACATCGGGGTGAGGGTGTGTAGGGGTGTCCCAGATGGTGGGTTTTCCCCAGGCCCCACCTTGCTCCCTGTGTCCTCCCCCACCATCACCTCTCAGCTGCTGAGCTGCTCCAGATCCACTGGGTCTCTTGGTTCCTGATCCCAGAGCACCTGCCCTTGGGCACCTAGGCTGCCAAGCACCCATTTGCAGTTTTGAGGCCCTGTCAACTTCAGGAGGCTGCTAATAAAAGCTTTGAACCTTCTCTCAGCTCCTGTTGTCCTGGCGACGCTCCCACAGAAAGCCTCTGCAAGAAACCTCCCCAAATCCATGGTGGCATCACCCTCCAACCCCCAAAGCAGCCTTCCCATCTGGGGACATCTCTCCATTCAAAGCCTCTCTGTGACTGCAGGAGCTGCCAGGCCCCAGGAATCTGGAGGTTCCTCACAGGACTACACTGACATTCCCAAGCAGTCCCATATAGCCTTTGCAGAGCCTGCTTTTGGAGTGACCACCACTGATGACCTGTTGTTACCAGGCAAAGCTCCTAACAAATCCCAAATTGCAGATTTCAGTCTTCCCAATGAGATGTAGAAAATGAAAGAAAATCAGAGGGACAAGGACACTCTGCTGTTCAAAGCATGCAACGGTACAACAAGTTCTTCCAAAAGCCTGGCTGAAAATTTTAGCAACTGTGATCTGGTCAAGAGAAAATCTCTAAAATAACCCAAATGTTAGAAAAAGCTTCTAGAAACAGGACAAAGCACATATCAGCTCATTACACATTACTTTCTGCTAGCTATCCATAACTGTTGCAATAGTTGAGGCTGATATTTTAACAATTGCCTCCTCTTTTTTGGTCTAGTGCCTTGTTTTTGCTCCTGGGATTAATTAATTAATGTATTTCTCTGGAATCTCGGTGTTTCATCAGGTACAGGATCACTCAGCAACAAGTCAGGGGAAATGGGTGCAAGACAGCTGAGATCACTTGTCCGAAGAGCCATTTTCCAGAAATTGCTTCACTATTTCGCTTCACAGAAACACAGAAGGTATCCCCCCAACAAGGGGCCAACTCAGCAGCAGCAGTGGCAGTAGGAGACAGAACACATGAGCATGGCTGCTTTCTGCAGAGCACTGCTGTCCTATCTCTAACCCCAAAAGTAGAGATAGCTCAGTCACCAGCTAGTGCTGATACTGGAAGGGATGTTTTATTTTTATTTTCCATGACTGATTTTGAGTGAATTTTTACAAGGATGAATACTGCTAGGACAAGGGTGAATGGCTTTAAACTGAAAGAGGACAGGTTTAGATGTTAGGATGCAATTCTTTACTATGAGGGTGGCAAGGCACTGCCACAGGTTGCCCAGGGCAGCTGTGGATGCCCCATCCCTGGAAGTGTTCAAGGCCAGACTGGATGGTGCTTTGAGTAACCTGGTCTTGTGGAAGGTGACCCTGCTCACAGCAGCAGGGTTGGAACTGAATGATCTTTAAAGGTCTCTTGCAACCCCAGCCATTCCATGATTCTACAAGTGCAGGATCCTCATGTTGTCCATGAAAATTGGATTTGTTACCCGGTGTGCAACAAGCCAATAATTATGCACTCGAGAGAGACATTGATTATTTATTTCAGAATTGTGAAAGCCTGGGTACTTGGTGGTATTCCACAAATCAAGCACACCAACTATGAAAACTTTTCACTACTTACACATTTGGGCAAACAAAGGAAGCGTTCAATGGCTACAAGTTACATAGTTCTGTTAATAATTTGTATTCAATCTTCTATTGGTTAATGATTCTCTTGCTTCTCACGCTGATTAGTCTGCATGCTCAGTCTTTCTCTTCTTTTGGGTCGGTGGGTTTCTTGGGTTAGTGGTCTCCAAGTCGGTGGTCATGCTCTCCCCTGACGGAATTACCTTTTACCCAGTTGGAGATGATTTCAGCGCAATTGCTGAGTTGGCCTTATTAGTTTCTTCCTTATCTTGGGAGTTTTAGCAGGTATCTTGATGGCTTATAAATTCTGTGTCCATTATCAGTGGGCATCCTTTTCCCAAAGCTTTGTTAACCTCCTCTTAGGTCTGAGGTTGTTGAAGCATGTCAAGCGCTAAACTTTAATAAGGCAATTAATTTGTTTTTCTAACACCTTAGAACGTGTTTGTTAGCTGCCTATCTGTTTCATGGATTAAATCTTTCTTGCTGATTAGCCTTGAAAGTATACAAATATCAAACATCAAAGAACATCCTTTCTTAACGAAATTTTTTCATATTCCACATTTTGCAACACCCACACTGACAGGGGAGCTCTGTAAGTTCCTTGCCTTGCCTGTTTGTCTCTGCAGGCAGATAAGGACACGCTTTCCAAAGTGGTGTGATACCCCTCCCCTTCCACTCCGGAAGCTACAGAGTAAATGGGAGTTGGAAATCGCACCTGCAAGTTTGACACCGCTGCCTTCCGCTTCACGGAAAGTTTTGGAAGGCAAAACAGTGTAAGGCGATGATCTCTGACAGTTCAGGGACCAAGGCTGTGATTATCTGTGCCATCACGGAGCTTCGTTCCTGTTCCCACTGACGACCCTAACAACGGGGGCTACGGCTCGCTCTGCCTCTCCGGGCATCCTTGTGTCAGCAGTGCCGTTTCTCCGTGTCCAGGTGTGTACTGCCGCTTGACCCCGAGCCCCGGGCAGGGTCTCACAGCCCCTCCAGGCCCCTGCGGGCCAGCTGTGGGGCACCTCGCACCGGCGGACGCAAGCTCCCGGTGCAGGCACCGCCGCCCCGCCCCGAGCGGCCTCAGGGGCCGCGGGGCCCCGCCCCGGCCGACAGCGAAATGGCGGCCAGTGCTTTTGCCCTCAGTAGAGATGGCGCCGCGGTCGCTCCGCGGTGCGGGCAGGCGAGCCCGCGCCGGAGGCGGGGATTGGCGGGGCCGCCCGTGGGGCGTGGCTCGGGGCGCGGCCGGAGGCGGGGATTGGCGGGGCCGCCGGCGGGGCGGGGCGCGGGGCGTGGCCGCAGGGCCAGGCTGGGCGCGCGGCGGTGTGCGCGGCCCCGCTCCGCTGCCGCCGTCTCCGCCGCGCCGGCTGTCGCCCCCGCCCCGGCATGAGGAAACGCAACGAGTCGGTCACGGTGGAGCATGAGCGCGCTGCCGCCGCCGCCGCCGCTGCTGCTGGTGCTGTGCCCGGGCCCCTCGACAAGGGCTGCAGCCTAAGGCACAGCCTGCGCCTGCCTGCCGCCGCCGCCGAGGGCATGAAGCGACCGCTGGGCAGGTAAGCGCCGCCGCGGTCCCTCCGCCGGGCTTTGTTATCCCCGCGTCACCGTCTGCCCGCTGCCCGCGGGCGCACCGGCAACCTGCCGGGGAGCGGGGCCGTGTTTCACGAAGAGAGGGGAAGGGCTACTGCCCCCCGCCCCTCCGACCGAGGAGCCCTGCCCGGCGGACAGGTACATGGGCGATCAGGTGTCCCCCACCTCGGTCCGCCCTCCTTGGTTGTCGTGTGCCAGGTGAGCAGGTGTCGGCCCCCCGATGCTTTCCAGTTTTCGGTGCAAAGAACTGATCGGAGAGAGGGGCGGCAGCGGGACCTGCGGACCCAGTCCTGGCCAGCAAAGGATGGAAAGGGTTTGGTATTCTTACCTGAGCGCTGCTTCATCGGGCCCCCTTCGGTACAGGCAGGCATTTTTCGTGAAAAAATGGCTAGCACTGAAATCCTCTCCATCAGAGAGCGTACGTGGAACAGCAGGGCCCTGCAGGTAGGATGTCCGTGGTTTTGGAAGAAGCTGGTGGCTGTCAAAGTGATCTCTTTCCTATGAACAAATCAGATTTAGAGGTCAGTAGGAAAAGCTTACATGGGAGACTCCGTTGAGAAGAGTGGCTTTTTACTAGCTGTGTTAACGTTTTAAACGTTTTGTACGTGTTTATACTGGGAAAATTTTTGTGCACCTCTCTAAAAATTTTGTAACAATAGAAGGTGCTTATCACCTGGAGCCTTCATCATGAAAGATTTTGGGGAATTGCAATACACCATGAAGATGGACTTATAGTTGCAGAGGGCTCGTGAAGAAAAGACACAACCTTTTACTTTCACCTGCAATATAATTGTATGTGAATGTAGAAAATACAGGGAGGTGCTGAAGACAAGTATAGTGCTGTTCTTTGTATTTTGAAAGTATGAAGAATATAATGATCAAAATAGCTGTGTGGTTTGGGTAGCTGGAGCCAAATTACTGTGCTTTAGCAATACAGCGGCCTGATTTAAAAAAAAAAAACGCACTTATAGGGCTGGATTTCTAGAAAATAAGGCATTGTGGATATTTTTCTTTTAAATTTTCTGATAATTTTTCTGTTCTCACAGACAAAATTAACACTTGAAAAGAACTCTTTCCTGTTTGTGACATGGATATTTGTGGTGTTCAAAGTCAGAAGCTTTAAAATGTGATTTCGTTTATTGGGTGATAGCTATTCAATTTTATGCCCTGGAGGTAAGCCTTTGGGATGCTGTCAGTGCTCTGTTCATGTTAAGACAAGCTTTTGGTAATTGAAAATGGTGCTGTGTTGATCTCAGTTTTCATGACTGTGCAGTGGATCAGACTGTGTCAGTGTTCTCTGCTTTTATAACATTTAAAAATTCAGCATATCTATTCCATGTGTCCAAATGGGTGATTTCTAGACCAGTGGCAATCAAATGATGGCTTGCTAACTTCTTCAGCGCTGTGAATGGCTTTCAAATACTTTTTACTCAAGGGGAAATGCTCTGTCGGTAATGAGCGTTGAGCAAGCCCTAAGAGAACATAGTGCAGGCTGTCAGCTTGGTCTAACGGGCAGGTGCTTTGTGGGTACCAGACATAGCACAGCTGAATTGTGAAGGCCAAGCTTAAAGCAGGGAAAGTGCATCCTCCTGTCTGTGAAAAAGTGTCTTGTATTTGCTTCTCCATTTAGACATTTGAAAGTGGTCGACAGGCAAGTTCTCCTAATTTTTCTCCACATTCAGCCTTTGATGCCTGTTTCAGAAATTCCTGAAGTCCTTACATGGTTTGGTGTTTTTGTGTGTGTGTGTGGTTTTTTTTTTTCTTTTCTTTTTTTTTTTTTTTTTTTTTTTTTTTTTTTTTTTTTTTTTTTTTTTTTTTTTTTTTTTTTTTTTTCTTTTCTTTTTTTTTTTTTTAATTCTTTCTGGGTCAGGTACTATATTCCACACAGAAGTGTTTCTCAAACTTGTGACATTGTAGAAAAACCTTTTTTTGTTTGAAACTTGCTTCTCCTTTTGCTTTTCCACATCTTTCTTTCATGCTGGCCTGTGTTGTCTGCCTTTCTTTCTGACTTTCGGTGGCCTTCTTTGACTTCCTCACCTTGTGAGCCTTCAGATAGTGGTTTGCAGGCAAGGTGTCTATGTCTGCCCATACCTTCCAGTTGTTTTCTACAGGATGATAAATGCACTGCTGGACTGTGAATCTGACCATGTAGGAAGGGGAGGTCCAGGCAGAAGAAGGTATGATGCCCAGAGAAAAGGTTCTTGTCCAGAACAACCACCCTGAGTCAGGTCAGACAGCTTTCTAGCTCTGTATCCCACCTTTGGCAGCAGACTGCAGCGAGTGTTTAAGGAAGAACATGAGGAGAGTACGAATACAATGGGACCTACCTTGAGGGCTACCCTGGCTGTGGTCACTTATGTGGCTAACAAGTTGCTATATGACCATCTAGCTCCTTGTATTTTAATATGCAAAGTCATGCTGTTATTGCAGCATTCCTTATACCGCTGGATGTAAAAGTAGTGTTTGATTGTTGTTGCTTTCAGTGTGTTACATCGGTTTTACTCCCCAGCTTGCAGGAGCTGTAAGGAGGTGAAAACTCTGCTGTGAGGGTGGTGGGATGGTGGAGGTGGCATAATATCTGAAACTGGGGATTTGTACAACAGCAGACTATTCTTAGCAGCATGCTCCTTGGTGAAATAGTTAAAATCAACACTTCTGGTGGCTGCGAATTCTGTGCTAAAGGGGAATTGGGGCTATCTGCATTTCATACTGCTGTTCTTTAGTCTCTACAGACTTGGGGAAACAGCATATATGTTTGGCCTCAGCATGTGTGTTTCCATCTTTTATTTGTAAGTGATACAAACCATTGGTTAGAAAAGCAAACCAACCCCCAGTAGCGTGGACTGGCTGTGTAGTTCTGCAGCCAAGGGCTGGTCATGTGGCAGATCCCCTGAGCTGGGAGCACAGGGGGCTGCAGAGGCAGCTGTGTCTGTAACTGCAGCAGTGACCAGGGCTGTGGAGCAGCAGCAGAGCTAGCATCTGCACTTTCCCAGTATGGCTCTTCCTGTTCACATCCAGCTCCTCGACAAAGGCCGAATAGCACCATAACTGTAAACATAACTGATGTTTATAGAATACACTGTTGGTTTACCACCAGCAGCAGCTCATTCTTGCAGCAGTATTTTTGAATTTTACCAGTGCTGTGTTTGCCCCTCAGTTTCAGTTCAGCCGTACCATCACAATGTGCTCATTCATCCAGGAGCTGAAACTCATTCTGAAGAGGTGGCTGTGCGTTGTGACTGGCAACGACTCTGTAACAGAAAGTCTGTGCGCGTGCGCTTCTAAGTGTAACAGAGATGGATATCTGATAAATAACATTTATGTGGCTTTGGCTAGTGCATACTGTAGTCAGTGTGGCTTTTCTTAAGTGGTTTACAAAAAGAAAGGAAAAAATTTAAGTATTTCCATTTTTCTTCCATAGATAGCAGTAAAATCTAATTTGATGGTTACCTGAGCGCTTTACCAGTAGCTCCTTTAAAAGTCTGTGAATTATATATTTTTTTAAAGGAGCTGTTCTATCTGAAATTTTTAAATGCAACAATGCAGTACTAAAGAAGCACTAGGCAGTGCCTACTGTTCCTGCTGTGTGTGTTTTATGTGGATGGCATTCCTCTAATATCTTTGTTATGAGGCATTTTCCAGGTGACAGTGTTTAAGTGCTAGATGGTTATTAAGGTAGCATTGTGTTTTGGGTACTTGCTGTGACTCATT